AAGTCATACAACCTATTTTATCAACTTGAATCAGAAATACATAACTATTTATGAAACATAACAAAACATACTATACAGCCGATACATTCTAAGTGTGTAGAAAAAACGTTATAACCGAATAAGTGAACTTACAAAACTTATACGCTAATGATAAAGCATATTATTATATGCTCATTATCAATGTGTTCTATATAGTTAGGTGAATTAGGTCAATGCGGCCTTTCATATGTTAGAAGAAACACTTTTCTATAAAAAATATTAAAAGTAACATAAAATAACCAACTTATGAAATTGACAAAACCTTTATCAGAAAAAATTATGAAATTGACCCGTTTCCGAATTTAACAATGAGTTTCAAAATAAATTATACCTACCTACCTTTACGAAAATAAAATAATAACTCTACCTACTTCATTCGAAAACATGCATTCGATTTTTTTTTCATTAAATAAAAAAAAAGATGAAGTAATCACTTCTACTAAACTTTCGATACCTATTATTATGTTTGCTTAAGAAGATTTGATTTGATCGGACCAAAATTAATTAAGGTTAAACATATTTTAACACTTTTAGATCATGGTGATCGTAGTTGTTGGGATAAAAGACAATGACGACGATGTTGCTTCCGTCAAGTGTTTGGATTTTTGCAATCATTGAATTAATTATTATAAAATCTTCTATATATTAAGAGCTCCATATATTAATAAAGCAGAGACTAGGTGAAAAATCTTAGGTGTCATCTAAAAAGGATTTTAAAGAACTCTTAATAAAAACTATTAAAATTTTTTAATGATGGATATATGGAAACAACAAATATGTGGTAATTAATATGAAATATTTTATTTAAAGAATATAGAAAATATTTGAGAATATCTTATTTTCTTTTCAATAACTATTAGATTTTTTGACCCGAGTCAAACGTGAGATTAAAATATGCAAAAATAAAAATAAGAAAGATAAAACATATTTATCTATATGTAAAATAGTATATATCTCCCATATTTATATTAAATGTAGAGATTTTTTTTAAAAATACCATTTTTAAGATACCATTTTTCAAAAATACCATCATTTTGAAACGTTTTCAAAAATGTCACTAATCCTCTATATATTAATTGAGTAGATATTTGGTGAAAAAATCATATATGTCATTCAATGGAGATTTTAAGAAACATGTCATTTAAATTAATCAATGAAAACATTTCAATCAAAATCATATGCTATGGTGGAAATCTCTATATTTTTTATTAATTTTATAATATTAACCGAGTAATACACATTTTGTAGATTTAAGTTTAACTAAATGTAATATTTAGACTTTCCATATGATCTATTTGTAAAAAAAATTGATATATTAAGAAGCTTTCATTATTATATTTGTAACAATATTATTTATTTGTAAACGACAATTACATTTACAAATATTTTTACTTATTATTATTGACAAACATGTATTTTTCGTTTGTTATGTACGAAAAATTCATATAAATCTAAAATTTATTTGATTTATCGTATGCTATAATTTACACAAATAATAAAAATTAATTTTACACTTCAAATAAATTGAAATAAATAACATTTGCATTAGGTTTAATAATTTATGCAAAATTGATCAAAACATATAACATCAAAATTAACTTTATGACATTTATGTACAATAGATATTATTTTTGTAAGTTTATAAATATTAGAATACCCATCTAAATATTAAAATCGATTTGAAAACATGTTAAAATAGTGGTTCTAAATCTAGTAGTATATTATTAGCTACAACCTTTGAGTGCGAAGAATTTAGTTAAACTATGTGTGTAGAGTAAACGAATAAATAATTTCCTTTGTAAATTTGAGGACGCTGTTGTATACATTTCGAATTCAAATTAAGAAAGGTGCAATATAAAGTTGACGAAGTTAGCCCATCATTGAATTAGGAATGGGCCGTAAAGCTTAAAACTGGTTATGACTTATGATTTAATTCATACTTGCTGTTCGTAATGTAGTGATGTCGTTTTGCGTACCAACAATTACCATCGAGACTTACCGGTTGGGAGCAAGACACGGTCGAACATCACCTTGTATAAGTTCTTTCAATCAAACGGTGTCCATTAGGTATAATCCGGTATCTAATTCTTTGCGATAATCGGGCGATGGATGGCGATCAAGCAACTCTCATGGCGGGCTCAAGATGTTTATATATATCCAACATGTTGTCTTGACTGATTTCTTGTGTTGTTTGAGTGGCTATTTGGGTTTCTTGTGTTCTTGTGTTTAGTATTGGCTGCCTGACACTTCCCATAACCTTGTTATCGATGGATTTCATTTGGATAAGGCCAAGCAAGCATAAGTTTCAGGCGACAAAATGTAGAGAATTTTCTTAACATGTTTGG